GGTTCTTTAAACGTTTCCCTAATGTGAATTTTCACGTACCCCCCGATTTTTGAGCGGTCACACAGGCATACACACACAACTTCTGGTTTATATATAGAGTGGTATAAAAATTTCCACACATGTCCTTTATGTGGCTTGGACCTCCGCGATGCCGACCAGTTAGCTTATTTGCTCGATGCCTTTTGAGGCTTCTACTTCTGAGTTGCTCTTCTGCAGTCTTATTTTCATGATTACTGAAGAATATTGTTTGAAAGATGGCTGCGAGGTCGATCGACAAAGTGACAGCGAGGTTACTCTCCCTCGACCCATGGCCCCTCACCCACGGGAGTGACCATATAGTTTGGGATGACCTTATAATTACTTTTTCGCACCTCGGCATACTTGCCAGTGGGATACCCCCAGATTAATACACCTATCATGGCTCTCGGGGAGACTCGCCTGCGGTGTTGCCTGACTTAATTGCTCTCTCACTAACTCCTGACCTTTCCTCTACTTGACGATTACATCATGATGACTGATTATTACTGCTGATTTTTTAGCAAATTTGAATTAAGGACTACAATTGAAAAATTTGAATCACATGAAACAATCAAAGATGAAAAGCATGCTGAAATGAATTAAAACGAAACACGAAAAATTGAAAATTATATTAAATTCAAATTAAATTAAGCTTAGATGGTAGTGTTAGTAACAAATCTAGACATTTTTCTACAATATTCTTCCGCTTCGTAAACCTCGTAGTGTTTGGTCCCATACATGCAATAAAAAGTGAACGAATGACTGGTGCCTACAATCCTGTAAATTATTACATCTCGTTTTCCATATTTGCTTACCTGTCGTTCGCCCATGTATTCCCGTGGTTGTGTTTCTGCTGGTGCTAAAAGGGAATCTGAAGATTGCTGGAACCTGGAATGGAGGTATGTGCAATGAAATGAGCGAGTTGTGTGCTGATGGTGGATATGACAATGAAGCCGGCGCGTTAAGAGCAGGAAGCGGAGTTGAGCCGAAGTTCATCCCATCGAAATGTGTGGCGTCGAGGTGAAAACATAAAACGAGGGAAACGGCACATGCATAGTAGTATACTGCTCCCGAAGAACCGATGAGGTTGTGTACAACCAAGAATCATATGTTGAGTTAGTAGTGCTTTGTGCGACATCAAATGAAAAAGAAAACGTGTACAAAGGGAAAGGGAGTGATGTACTGCCGGAGACATCACGGAAAATCAGAGAATTGGTGGGAACGGAGGAAAGGGAGTGAATGTTATCGTTCATGCTCTACTGTGCGTTACACAAACAACAGTGCTAAAGATTTCCGCTAATCAGCTCGCTTATTACTGATTAGCGACAACCTTTATATCAGGTGTGAGGTTGGTAAAAGAGATGTCTAACAGTTAAAAGTACTGACGGTCATATTTAACGAATTAACCTCCCTATAGATGGCCATCAATTTAGTCCAATTACAGCGAGTTCTTGGCGCAGAACACATTCAACCTTCAAGTAATTACAGAGCCTAGAAGTTCAAATCATTTGGAATACCTTCCATGATGAAAACAATAAAAAAATTTTCAATACGGGCACTTTTTCCCATTTTAATTTCATGCTGTGTACGTCTGCATTTCAGTTGCTCTAAGTGGTTAAATGTGTTCTTGACATTTTGAATTTATGAAAACATTTTTTCTGACATTTTCCAACGTTTACTTTTATTTTTTCCTTCTTCTTTCCATGTTCAGTTTGGCTCAGTCGTGTCTGTAGAGGAGAGGTCAGGAGTTAGTGAGAGAGCAATTAAGTCAGGCAACACCGCAGGCGAGTCTCCCCGAGAGGCATGATAGGTGTGAAGTGAGATCTTTTAAGACACCACACACCCATTAATTGCTTGCACGCTGACTGGTGACCTCTCACTGCCAGGCTCACACAAGATAGAATAACGAGAAATAAGTGTATAGATGTATAAAATAGAAATTTCCAAAAGGGGTAAGTGTATGTATATAATAGCGAATGGAGACAAATGCAAAATATTACAGAGAACACAGTAAATCATGGAAACTGATGTAATGCGTGAAAAAACGCTATCCAGTATCGGTATTAAAAGCACGCAAACTCGCCTACGAGCGAATTACCACAAAGGATGGCCTCTGGCAGTTCGGCGCCTTTTTACCTACCACCTACTAACCCTATTAAGGTCACTTACTTAAGCAAATGATCCGCGGTAGGAGCTACACCTATTGTTGTGTTTCTTCTGCACTCACGTGATGTTTCGAACTCCCAGTGGAACGCTTCATATCAGGACTTCTCCGGCCACTTACTCTCACAATACGTCCTGACTAACAGCACTGCACAATCAGGAACCCCCACGCTCTACGTAGATACCCCGAACACCGTCACTATGCCGACTGCAGCACCGTCATTATGCATGTATTCCACACAGTTTCAGGTTTCCCCAGCGTCATTCGGCTATGAGCCTCCGACAGATGCTTTCTACAGCACCATGCAGTCTCCTGCTCCTACGCTGTATATGTCCTCCACCTCATTTCAGACAGCTTTCGAAGGAACACCTGCGCCTGCATCGTCCTCAACAACGATATTTCAGTATCCAGGCCAGACACCCTCCCTTTTGTCTATGGCACCCCTTCCCTCTGTTTCTACTCCGTCGCCACCTTCGACCAGTGCGAGTGCAGTGATTCCGGAGCTTTCTTTTCAGGTACTTCGGATGCAACGGCTCTACCTGCTGACCTAGAAGCCCCTCCCCGACGACGATACATCGGCGAAAGACAGGCGAGCAAAATTGGGAAGCATGATGTACTAATTTATAGAATTCCAGGGACATCACGATCGTTCACCTTCTATAAGCGTTCGCGTCAAAGACGAGCGAGACTTACAGCTGCGTACACTGCTTGAAGGAAAGAAGAAGGCGTGGAGAAACAGCGGTAGGAGGAGAATATAAAGTTAGTCGAAATGAAGAGCATGTGCAGGTCCAGATCGCAGTACGCTCTTATTTAGGTTGTTGGGAACGAATTTTTGACCGACCCTAGCGCAACTGCTCATGAATGCTGTTCAGCCAAGTACTCGGAGGAGAGAGGGGACCGGCACGTATATAAGGTAAAACGCGATATCTTATACTGGCAACAGGAATGAAATAGCTTCTTCCAGGAGATGCAGAAAGTCAGAAAAGATCCCACCTACGCTGAGAAGAAACCCGTGAGAGTGTATCTTGATATGTTGGCGGCACCCCTTGAAGCCGACAATGGTATAATGCAAACACGTTGATTGTGCTTTTATTGACATATACAGGTCCAATTCTTATTCCGGAAGAAATGGAAGCCTCCATCCGTGCTTCAATTCGTCGGTCAGGATATCAGTCCCGTAGGCGTGTCATATCAAGGTGCATAACTTCTGTCGAACATTTTATCAGCTGTTCCCTCTTATCAGGTTTACTTCAGGAGCGGGAGTATGGACGGACAGGTCAGTCACGATGGATCGAGTCCCTTTGGAGTACAGCACGCTTCGTGACGGTTCCAGCTTTTTGCAGCACCATTCACGTGGATTTCATATCTATTACTCCGTGGCAACGATCCAGGTGAAAAATTTCAATTTGAAAGACTCCCGAAATGATGTTTAATACATATTCATTCAAGAAAGCATGTGACCTGGGTCTGCACGCCATTGTTGCGGACGGCATGCATTCCCTGCATCCCAAGTCGCTGGGATTCGGCACAGCTCTATTGTGTGCACGGCGTATGCTCAGAGGGGGTCGAGATACCCCTTCTATACTGCATCACTGAGAAGAAAACAGAGAAGGTGTACCTTAAAATTTTTGGCACTTGAAGGCAACTATCACGTCCG